ACACACACACACACACACACACACACACACACACACACACACACACACACACACAGAGAGAGAACATGAAAAAAAATGGTTGTTGCCATAACAGCTATAACAAGACTAATCAATTAAGGTGGGCTATTATCAGCTGGAGAAAAAAAACTTTTGTAGTGATCATGAGGAAGGCCCATTTCCGAACGGTTGACAAGAAGGTGTGAATAACAGTAGGGGGGAAAATAGCATAGTTTTACTTCATTACACAAAGTAAAACCCTTTCCCCATGTTCCCTCCACCTGGCTACGCCACTGTGTCTGTCTGGTGGTTTGAACAGCATGTAATTTGGACTTTTATGTAACCCCCACCCACCTAGTGCAGTGTTCTGTCCCCGTCTAGCGGTAGCTGGGTCACATACAGAGGTTGATGAGCCTCTACAGCCTACGACAGTGACCACCGCTGGCAATTTAAGCTCACGTAGTAGCCGCTTATGTTTTTACATCCAGAGGCCCTAGGTCTGATTCCTGCTGCCGATGACCCACCAGGGGGAGTGGTGTTCCCTTTACCTTGCCATGCAGATGGAGCCCCAGTTTTTCCAGATGTGTTTTAAAAAACAAATGTAAAGTTATGACTTTCTATTGCCCCTTGGTCTGGTGTGGCTGTTTGCGGGGGCAAGGGGGCAGGGTCTGAGTTATGCTCAACTGTCTCAGAGGCAGCCTGCACTCATGAAAATCCCTGGGGAGAAACCAGCTCCATCACTACAGTCCAGCTGTACCCCAGGTACAGGCAGTCTGGGGTGCTTTTAACATGCCCCTTTGGAAATCCCCAAGTGCCTAGCCTATGCTTTGTGCCCATTTTTCTTCCCCAATGGGACACTTTCACCACTTTAGAAACTGTGGCCTTTAACTATATAATAATCTGCAGGATCACACGGCCTTTGGCAAAGACTTCCATCTAAATGAATCTTTACTGATAATCTGGTACAAACCAAACCTTTGATGATTTCTCACAACACCAAACATACTACACTAGAGTATACACCATTAATATCTGCTTAAATATCAAAATTATAACATCTTACATAGACATAAATAAAGGACCTCTAAATAGCCGTATGAATTTCACTCATTCCAGTGGAGTAGATAGCATTTAATTTATATAAGAAACTGTCTCCCATCTGGGAAACTTCACATCACAGTGATGGCTCATGAAATCTGACTGCATAAGTAAGGGCCCAATCCTGCAAGGTACTGCACAGCCTCAGCTCCTAACTGGAGTCAACAGGAGTTGAAGTCACTGAACTCCCTGTAAGGGGCACTCAGCAGGATCAGGCCCTAGGAAAAAAATATGAAACACTAAGTCAAAAGTGTGACCAGTCTAATGCAATGGGACTGAGCGCTTACAATAAATAACCAGGTGAGTTAACAGCTAGGGAGCAATGCCTCACCAAATAAGTCATTCAATGTTAATAACAAAACTGAACTATTATAAGATTCTTCCCCAAAGGTTTTAACCACGATCCCACAGATACAAAGCACCCAACTTTAAACAAACACTGGGGTGAAACCGGAGCTTAATTTGTAATGCAAGAGGTGCTGGGGCTCAGGTAGGTTTTTTTACTTTCATAACTGATGCAGCAAGTCCAGAGATGCTAAGCCTAGCTGTCAAGCCCTGGCACAAATTAAGCAGTGGGCAAAACATGCAGAAATCCAGACCTCACCCCAAGAGCTACACACGGGTTAGCCCATTCCCAGGATTTGGTGCATTAATTTTGGTGGAATAAATGGGCCTAGAAAGTCAAAGGCATTAATGTGATCCTGGCACATACAATACTAAACAGTTAAAAGTGGCTGGGAGGTTCGAGTACCAAAATACATCAGCTCAGAAGGGATGGGGCAGATCTGGTGAAAGGCCAGCAGCAGGGAGGGGGCTAGGCCATTATTCCCCCATCATCAAAGCCTCACAGGAAATCTGTGAGCGATCTGATGCATCTGTAATGAAGTGCCATTCTTCTCAGGAACAAGAAAGAACTGGAGGAACAAAACAACAGGAGCCTAGAGCACTGACCAGCTAGAAGAGATGATGCTACATCAACAGCCATTTGCAAAATGACCACTGTGGGGCTGCAGCTGGTTGGCTCGAACAAATTTAAAGGGCCAAGCTCAGAAAGGCATGCTAGGCAGAAAGGTCTTATTAGAGGGAAATCCTGCACTGGGAAAATTTAGGAGGGATGCGAAAGTTACTGAGGAAGGAGCTTCAGTAAGCCATAACTTTATCATAGTAGCCTGTGGCTGCATTCATTTTGTTACAAATGACCTATGTGTTATGAGCCCACATTCCCTTACAATAAGTGTGAGTTTCCAGGGCAAGTCCTGGGAGTATGGTGCTAATAAAGCTGTGCAGTCCAGGAGCTGGGGTAGAGGGATAGAACGTCCGACCATCCAACCACCCGGAGCTAGGGTAGAGATACAAGGCTTCCATGTGGAAAGCCCTGGTGGCCTTGTGTGCATCAGCCCCACTCTGCGTAGCTCTCTCTGGGTCTGTAGGAGGAGTCCCGTGTTTATTCCACAAGGAGGTAAACCTCCTCCCTTGATTGGACAACATGGAGCAACTGAGTGAAGAAACTCTGCACAGTCTGAACGGCCTGCTTTCCTGGGCTTTCCTACAGGAGGGATCAATCTGAGAGTAATTCATCCTAATGAGTCAAAGCCCTTGAAAGCTTGGTCAATATTTTGTTCATATGCCTCATTTTATTAATAGTCTCAGCAGCAGCAAATGGAGCTAAAATGAAAACAGGAAATCAGACTTTTGTAGGTTACCATGCAAAATGAAGACTCCACTCAGCTAATCCCCCAGTAATCTGGTGGTATTCAGTCAAAGTGTAAAGGGAGGTGAATGAAGATTGTTGAACAATCATCTTTGTTTGGCCCACCCCTCAAAAAAAATCCCTAAAATGTGTAGCACCCTCCAAACAGTACTGCGACTTATGTCAAATGCAGTGGAGTACAAGTGAGGCTGTGAGTTCACCTGATTGAAACAGCGGCAGTACAAGGTAAGATTGACATAAACATCAGTCATTACAACCATAACATCCCAATATGTGCCTAAACTCTACGGAAACCCTTGACTTTTGCTCAACCTCAGCATTGTTTGACACTAAGCTACAATTAACCCACATGGATTATGCATTAGCCACCATTACTGAGCATTGCCAGTTGACTGGGGCCTGATTTGAGCTCCTGAGCTTTCCTGTGGACATCAAGCCTCATCTTGAATAAAGTCTGCATGAAGTTCACTTCTTGGCCTGTGCCGTGGTCATGCAGAACTGAGCAGGTGGGGTTGCAATGGGGCCATGGACAGTTATCAATCATATGGAAGGGACAACTTCTCATGGGGATCTTTGGGGCTTTATTGCGGTCTTGAAGGCTCTTCTCCCAGCACTGCAAGGCTCTGGCCAAAGAAATGCCCTTCACTTGAAATTCCAGCCAGTAACTACAATATAAGAAGAGGAGGAAGATGATTACCAAGAAGTGATTAAATTGACAAATAACCCATAGAGATGGGGCTAGCTCAAGAGAGAGACTTCTTGTTCTGATTTTCCTTCGCCGATTATTATTAAATAATTCATATCAGGGCTGGCTCTGCCTTTTTTGCCACCCCAAGCAAAAAAAAAACCACACACTTGCGTCACGGCCGGAGCCAGGGTGCAAGGGGACTCCCTGCACTGCAGATGTGCCCCGGCTAGCGACGGGGAGGAAGCAGGGGGAGAAAGAGAGAGAAGGGGGCAGCCAAGGCTTCAGTGGGACACTCGCCACGCGGCCCCGACCGCCGCGCCGCCTACCTGGAGGGCTCCGCGCCGCTCCAGTCAGCGGGGAGGGAAGGACACGCGCTGCCCTGACGGGCTTGCTACAGACCAGACACCGGCTGGGGCAGACGGAGCGCGCAGCCCACTCCCAGCAGGGTGCTCCCCTCCTCTGCGCCGCCGCCCCCTACAGGGCAGCCGGATCAGCGAACAAAAAACAACAACAACAAGCGGCCGTGCCGCCCTAAAATTGGGAATGCCTCCCTGTAGAATCTGCTGCCCCAAACACGAGCTTGCTCGGCTGGTGCCTGGAGCCGGCCCTGATTCATATTATTAGGAATATTAACTTGGGGCCCAATCTTGCAACCACAATTGGGCACAGCACTTAATACTTGAGTAGTCCCATTGGAGTAGTTGGACTATCAGGACCATAAGCACTAGCCGAGCTAGAAGAATTTGCAGGATTGTAATGCATCAGCACTAATTTGTTTCATTTTGCTGAACAGCTGCAGAAATCTACCTAAGCAATGAGATTCCTGCAGACAGCACATAAAGGGGCAGCAGGCCGAGGGGAGTGCTGAAGATGTGTGTAACCAGACAATATTTGTTAGACAGAGTCACGCTGAGAACTAACAACATGACCTAATACTCGAAAGATGAACAGACATTTAATCCCCTTAGGTGACATCTTGTAGGGTAAGGAAATGAAAGCATCTTTGCTCACCTTTTTGTAATCAGCGTGTGAGACAGACATGCAGGGGCAAACACAGCTCTATGAGAAAGGGAAACACAGACAAGTGACAAAATACCCTCTGCACATCCTCGTGAAAACATCCTTTCCTGTATTTACATAGGACTTTAAAGGGACCAGCCCACTGCCACTGACTTCTGTGAACAGGATTGTGACACCCTTGCTCACAGAGGGCTAGGTTCTCATCTGGTGTAAATTGTCAGAGCTCTGTGAAACTAGGATTACATAAGAACGGCCATACTGGGTCAGACCAAAAGTCCATCTAGCCCAATATCCTGTCTTCTGACAGTGGCCAATGCCAGGTGCCCCAGAGGGAGTGAACCTAACAGGTAATGATCAAGTGATCCATCCCCCATCGCTCATTCCCAGCTTCTGGCAAACAGAGGCTAGGGACACCATCCCAGCCCATCCTGGCTAATAGCCATTGATGGACCTATCCTCCATGAACTTATCTAATTCTTTTTTGAACCCTAAATTATTTGAACCCTGAACTATTTACACTAGCTGAGGATCTGCCCCTTTGAGTAGTACCTTTTAAAGTCTTGTCTACACAGTGGGGGAATGTGCTCCAGGGGTGTGTGATGTCTAAAGCACATTAACATGTTGGGCATTAATTGGTCCATGTAGACCCTGCTGGTGTGCACTAAAGGTTCCTGTAGACGTGCCCTTCGTTGCTCACAGTACAAATTCACTGGAGACCACTCTTTCACACACCAGTGCCCTTTTATTTCAGTCTTTGCCCACCACCACCTATATACAGTTCAGTGTCAGCAGGGCCGGCTTTAGCAGGTGTGGGGCCCCATGCCGGGGACGCGAATTGTCTCACGGCCCCCCACCCTGCCCCACTGAATCCCTCTCCAAATCCCCACCCCGCCCCCTCACTGCCCCATTGGATCCCTCCCCAAATCCCTGCCCTGGCCCCGCATCTTCCCCAAGCACACTGCATTCCTCCTCCTCACCCCTCCCTCCAAGGCTTGTGCTGATCAGCTATATGGCGGCGCAAGTGCTGGAGGGAGGGGGGAGAAGCAGGATGTGGCTTTTTTTTTTTTTCCTCCTCGCTCCGCTGGCAGCCCTGGACATTGCAGGGCCCTCTTAGGGCCCCATTCCGGGGAATCGGCCGAATCGGCTTAAAGCCGGCCCTGAGGATCAGTCAGGTAGCCCCTTAGGGAACTGCTTGCTCTTACAGCTAGCTGGGAGCAACAGGCCCTCACTCCTCACTTTCCTGTTCCTCCGCTTCTACTTCCTTTCTGCTAGCTTTATAGGCCTTCCCCCATCAAGCTCACAGGTGTCTCTCTTTTAGGGCTTTAAATCAGCCACAGCCTGTCAGCTCCAATCACTTCCCCTTACTGGGAGCTGAGCTTGCAGGCTCTGAGCTAACAGTCAGTGCCTTTTGGCCAGCACCCTGTTGTTGTTGTTTTGTTTGTTTGTTTGTTTTGTTTCCCCACACACACACACACCCCTTAAGAACGGCGACCCCAGGCCGCCTTCGGCCTCTTGGCCCCTCCACCACTCCTCTGAGGGAGGGTTCTCCGGGGAAGCCTCCCTACTCCAGGTGGGGCTCTCCCCAACCACTACGTCGGCTCTCTCCATCCCCCTCCCACAGAAGGAGCACATATCAGGGAGGGGTGGGCCCTCCATCTCTGCCTCTGCTCACAGGTCGTCACAACAATCGCAGTGCGGCAGGCCCCCTATCCCCAGCTCCCCCTGCGTGTCTGGCTGGGGTTCAGGGGTTATTTCGGCTTCTAGGGGGAACCCCCCAACTCAGTTTCTGCCAGCTCTCCTTGCGGCTCGGGGCCCTCCTGCGCCACTGATGGGGGGGGTCAGCGTTCATCCCACCTCGGGGTGGGACCTTCCGCACCTCAGTTTCCCCCATTCGTCCCAGTACATCTAGGGCATCTTCCGCAGAGAGCGGGATCTTCCCTGGGGGGGTCTAAACTGACCAGCTCCCCCATATATACTTCCTGCAGGTCTCCCCGCTCTGGGCTTTGCTGTCTAAGAGTTTTCACTTCATTCCCAGGACTAGGGTCATCCTACCGCCCTGGGGCTCTCATTCTCCGGGGATCTAACCCCCCTCTCAGGGTACCCTGTTGTTTCATGCCCAGTAGTGGGGCCCAGTCTGGGCCTAACACTACCGGACACGGTAGTTTCTCCAGGACCCCTACCCATTTCCACCTCAAGCAACCCTTTGCTTCTAGGGGTACCTGGGCTACCGGGCAGGACTTCCTGTCCCCACGTATGCATCCGAGGGCCATCATTGCCCCCGGAATAAGCCAATATGGCTTGACCAGGGCCTTTCGCACCAGCATGCAGTTTGAGGCAGTGTCGACCACAGCCGTTTGGAGTCTCCATCCCACCTTCACAGGCACCGTGGACACCCCCCGCCCCCGCTTCCGTCCCGCCTGTTCAGTCCAAGCACAAGAGTCCGCCCAGCCACATTCCATGTCCGGGCAGTCTTGTTTAACATGCCCCACCTTCCCACACCGCCGGCACGTTAGGCAGGCCTCCCGGGGGCTCCCTTTTTTCTCCTTGCCTCTCCCAGGGAAGGAGTCCACGGGCTTCCGCCCCAGTTCTCTGTCTTTCCATTGCCAGTCCTCCCCCCGGGGTCCCTCAGCCTCTCTATACTCCTCGGTTACCCGGACCACCTCTTCCAGGGTGCCTGGCTGGTGTCTCCTCACCCAGGTGCGCACCGTCTCCGGGAGGCTTTGCAGGAACTGCTCCAGTATCAGGGAGTTCATTATCTCCTCCAGGGTATGCGTGTCAGGCCTCAACCAGCGAGTGGCCCAGTCCCTTAACCTCTGGGTGAATGCTCGTGGTTGCACAGCAGACGTCCACCGGGCCGACCGCAGCTTCTGTCTGACAAACCTACCCTGTCCAAAATGGCTGCTCTCACGGCCTCAGTTCTGGGCAGCTTCCTCCCCCAAAGCCATATAGGCCGCTTGCGCCTCGCCAGTCAAATAAGGGGCTAGTCGGAGGGCCCAGGTTGCCCTGTCCCGTCCGGTCCCCGTAGCTATCCTCTCGAAAGTTCCCAGGAAGGCGTCTGGGTCATCCATCGGGCTCATTTTACAGAGTCCCCAGCCCGGCAGCCAGGCGCCCTCCCCTGCCCCAGGACTCACCAGCCGTTGCAGGAGCTGCCCGTGGACATTGCTTTGCTCCCGGATGAAGTCCTGCAGGCTTTTCTGTTGCTCAGCCTGCCAGACCAAAGCAGCCTGTCTTTCTGCTTGGTGGACCCGCTGGAAAGTCTGCAGGGCTTGCTGGGTCTGTTTCTGTTGCTCTACGAGCCATTTCAGGGTCTCCTCCATTGCCGGGCCACCAACCATGCTCGTTGGCTTCCGATCCCAGACATGCCCCCACATGTAGACGTGCCCTTCGTTGCTCACAGTACAAATTCGCTGGAGACCACTCTTTCACCCACCAGTGCCCTTTTATTTCCATCTTTGCCCACCAGCTATATACAGTTCAGTATCAGTCAGGTAGCCCCTTAGGGAACAGCTTGCTCGGAGCAACAGGCCCTCACGTTCCTGTTCCTCTGCTCCCACTTCCTTTCTGCTAGCTTTATAGACCTTCAAGCTCACAGGTGTTTCTCTTTTAGGGCTTTAATCAGCCACAGCCTGTCAGCTCCAATCACTTCCCTTTACTAGGAGCTGAGCTAGCAGGCTCTGAGCTAACAGGGGCTGAGTGCCTGTTGGCTAGCACCCTGTTACAGTTCCCTAGTGCACTTTAGCATAATGCTGTCTAAACAGCACTATGTTAAAGTGCACCAGAAGATCTGTAGATCAATTAATGGACAACATATCAGTGCACTTTAGAAACCACACCCCCATATAATGCATTACCCCATCATGTAGACAAGCCTTTTCACAAGTAGTCTAGTCGTTGTCAGGTACTATCCAGTTGTATCACAATCACATGCAAGCCCAGATTTTTAGAAAAACACAAAATAAGATTTCAATGGAATGCCAATAGTTGATGCCCAGATTAGCTCATCTAACAAGTGTTACATTTCTGCAGGCTCAGTAATTAGCAGGAGTGTATTAGATGGTGAGCATATGTAACCTCATTTTATTTTATAAGACCAAATTCTGTCTTCAGTTGGCCCTCTGATGGTTAACCTTTGGTATTTTATTCAACACAAAGTAGTGCAATACTGACGGGACAACACGTAATGAGTTCCTAAGTTCTCGCCCAAGGTTTTGTAGGTAGTTCCATTGATTTTCCGTTAGGAACTGACTTCCAAGATGGATATTTTCTAATTTCAGCTGTTCCTCATCAAACAGCCACTGAACCACAAAAACTGGAGCTGCAAAAGAAAGAACGGGGGGGAGGGATAACTCAGTGGTTTGAGCATTGGCCTGCTAAAACTAGGGTTGTGAGTTCAATCCTTGAGGGGGCCATTGAGGGATCTGGGGCAAAATCAGTACTTGGTCCTGCTAGTGAAGGCAGGGGGCTGGACTCAATGACCTTTTGAGGTCCCTTCCAGTTCTAGGAGATATTATTAAATGAGATATCCTATTATTATTGGCACCCTAGAAAGTTGTAGATTAAGTCAGTATTTGACATTAGCATACAGGGCCAGATCCTGCAGCTACAAAAAAAAAAAAAAAACCCCAGTAGCTAGAGGCTAATGCTGATTACACTAGTGCCCATGAGCCCACTCAGACCAGAATCTCATTGTTCTAGGCACTGTACAAACCCAGAACAAAAATATGGTCCCAGCCCCAAAGAGCTTCAGAAATGCTCCACTCCCACTATGCACCATGGGAGCCGCTGGATGCGGAGCACGGCTGAAAATCCAGCCCCAATTAATGTCAGTGCGGGATCAGAGCCAAACTCTGAGAGAAGATGAACTTACATTGCAAGGATGAATACAATCTATATCCAAGGAAGCACTGCCACTTGTTAACTCTATTGAACTGCTGTTTACATTTTTCTGGAAGGATTCCATTCCACATCCTAAAAAGCCATGACCAGAAAACATTAGTGGGAAAGAGAGAGGTGGTGTTACCTTAAACTAATATGTAAAAAAAAAGAAAGAAAGAAAATAAAAGCTACGTGTCTTGCCCAAATAAAACCAATTGTTTGTGTGAGAAGAACACAATACATCCAGCATAAGGAATACATGGCATATTGTTCAGCCCGAGGGAAGCTCTCTTCTTCTGAGCATAGCAATCCCTGTTTCTTCCTAAAGGTGTTGTGATGGCGAGTAAAGCTGGGTAACTTTCAGTTCGTGATAATGATCAGCTAGTCTATAAAACCTTCACAGAGAGGTACATTTGCAGCAGGTTATTTTCCCTTTCGGGGTTGCAAGATGCAGCTGCAAGATTTACATGCACAGTTTAATTCCAGATGCCAGTCCAAGTGCTTGTGCCCCTCGCTACCTGACCGGAGGTGCAGATCAGGTAGCCAGAGGTGCAAGAACTCATATTTGAATCATTTTATGGGCACAAATTTTGCAGGCATAGCAAAAAACACCCTGTGACGTTATTGATATAATCTGGGACCATATAGATCATTGTTGCAACCAAGGTCCTGTAGTGGCAACCAGATCTTGTATAAAGGGGGTAGGGGGTCAAATGGGGTGTCTAAGACAAGGTTATGGTTTACTGGTTATGATTATGCTGTCTATGTGTGTGTATCAGTTTTGTAGTTGAAGTTATGAATATTGGCTCTATACTGTCTGTATGGCAAACTTATGCTATGCTTCTGGGTGACATCCCAGACAAGCTGAGATTAGCTCTGCCTAGCCTGCTTGATGGCCCATTAAGAACCATCAGCTATACAATGGACCCATTGAGAGAAGGCAAATATGCCTTGAGACTCAGCAAAGTATGCAGGGACTGGCCCATGTGACTCCAGACTCCATTTTGCTGTAATTTTCCACAGTAAGAACAAAGAGGTGGTCTTACACCTGGAAAAGACTATATAAGGCTGATGCCTCATCTCCATTTGGTCTTCAATCCTGCTTCATACCTCTGGAGGAACTTTGCTACAAGCTGAAGCTTTGAACAAAGGACTGAGGACCCATCCCAGCGGGGGATGTATTCCAGAGACATGATTTGAACCTGCAGTTTATTCTATCGCTGCTGCAAGCCTGAACCAAAAACTTTGCCATTACTGTATGTAATTAATTCTATTTAACCAATTCTAACTCTCATCTCTATCTTTTTCCTTTTATGAATAAACCTTTAGATTCTAAAGGATTGGCAACAGCGTGATTTGTGGGTAAGATCTGATTTGTATATTGACCTGGGTCTGGGGCTTGGTCCTCTGGGATCAGGAGAACCTTTTTCTTTTACTTGGGTATTGGTTTTCATAACCATTTGTCCCCATAATGAGTGGCACTGGTGATAATACTGGGAAACTGGAGTGTCTAAGGAGATTGCTTGTGAGACTTGTGGTTAGCCAGTGGGGTGAGACCGAAGTCCTCTTAGTCTGGCTGGTTTGGTTTGCCTTAGAGGTGGAAAACCCCCCAGCCTTGGGCTGTAACTGCCCTGTTTGAGCAATTTGTCCTGAGTTGGCACTCCCAGTTGGGTTCCGCCAGAACCGCATTGTCACACACCCCAAGGTTACAACCCACAGGCTCAAGTACCTGAGTCCTTTCTTGATTGCACCCACTGAAGCACTAGAGGCAGCATCTGAACAGTTAGATTGTCTTGGATGTTTAATGTCCAGGAACCAGCCAGAGTCAACAAGTCCTCTGACCTGGACTGCCTCAGCTTCCAGCTCCTCCAGAAGGGCTGCCACCCTCTCCAGGTTCAGTAGCACACCAGTCCCACCAGCACTGAAAAGAAGACAGACATCAGTTATCTGGGTCCCCAGATGGAGCCCTGCTTGTGCTTAAGGCACTCTTTCGGCAGCAAATACAGGAAATGGAAGCAGTGCATTGTAGTCGCTTTAAAGCCCACTATCATTGTAATCCCACCTCCTGCTCACTGTTCCCACCAGAGATGGAGTTGGAACAAAGGGCTTTTGGACAGAAATATTTGAAGTTAGCTGGAAAGCTAAGGGAGGTGCAGGCATTGCCTCCTTTATTCCCTCTGCTTTTAGTTAGTTATTTTTGCTAAAACTGTATAGCGCTCAATAGACAGCCCTGGACATCAACACCCTTTGCTTCTCTGCAGAACTGATGCTCCCTAGGTAGCAGTGGCTCCAGCTTCTCCACATTGCCTTGTCAACATGCTACAGACTTGGGCAAAAAGAACTATCTAACGCTTCATGCCCATTCACTCCATGGCCTCTCTGCAGAGACCAAGAACAGTCAGTGCCCACTGTGATGGGGTTCTAATGGCCTGAATGTGGCCTGACTCCCATTGATTTCAACAATCAGGCCCCTGGTCCAGTTTCAAGTGCCACAGTCTTTCCATCGACTTCAGTGGACTTTGGAGCAGGCCCCGAGAGCACTAACTCATTTCAATGGGGCCACTCAATACCCAACACATCCCTTATACTGCAGTATGGAGCTAGTACAGTACTCCAGAAACCGACTGCTGTTGTAAGCTGTAGTGGTTTGGAGCAATACTGTGTAATCTGTTATCATTTTTATATGAGAAATAAGTAAAAGAAACCTTCCTCGATAGATTCAGCTGAGGCCTTGCTAGCCCAAGATTTAGTATAGAACATGTTTGCAATGGTAGCATGCTGTGACAAAGTTCCTCCTCTATCTTGGTGGGTCCTGTGCTTATTGGCAGATTTTCTTGCCTCAGAGATTCACCATGTGGGTTGGGGAACAGCCCAGAGACCTTCCCCTCTGGGACAACCCACAGGCCAGGTCAGTTGGGAGGTTTGGGGGGGAACCCGGGCCCACCCTCTACTCCAGGTTCCAGCAGCTGGACTGCAGCTGTCTATAGTGCCTCCTGTAACAGCTACATGACAGCTACAACTCCCTGAACTACTTCCCCATGGCCTCTTCCAAACACCTTCCTTATTCTCACCACAGGACCTTCTTCCTGGTGTCTGATAACGTTTGTGCTCCTTAGTCCTCCAGCAGCACACTCTCAGCTCCTTGCGCCTCTTGCTCCCAGCTCCTCACACTCCCACCACAAACTGAAGTGAACTCCTTTTTAAAACCCAGGTGCCCTGATTAGCCTGCCTTAATTGATTCTAGCAGCTTCTTTTTAATTGGGTCCAGGTGTCCTAATTAGCCTGCCTGCCTTAACTGGTTCTAGCAGGTTCCTGATTACTCTAGTACAGCCCCTGCTCTGGTCACTCAGGGAACAGAAAACTACTCATCCAGTGACCAGTATATTTGCCCTCTACCAGACTCCTGTACCCCACTGGTCTGGGTCTGTCACAGTGCTCAGAAAGATAGTGTTGTCCAGTGGGCAGGGTGCTGGTCCATGACTCTGGAGACTACGTTCTATTCCCACCTCTACCACTGATCTGCTGTGTGACCTCAGGCAAGTCACTTCAACTCTTGGTACCTCTGTTTCCTGTCTGTCTGGTCTATTTAGATTGTAAGCTCTTGTTTCTTACCATGTGTTTGTTCAGTACCTAGCACAAAGGGGCCCTGATCTTGGTTAGGGCCTCTGGGTACCACTGAAGCACAAGCAGTTAATGACACCACTTAGAAGGGTTTCGAGAACTTCTCACTTAGGCACTCTCACAGCTCTAGGCCCATCCTTACCTTTCCCCAGCAAGCAGGACCACTTCAGCTTGCTTAATTCCCTTAGGAACCAGGTCTTTAATCACCTCCTGGATAATTAGCGATCCCATGAAGGCATAGTCTGCTAGAAGAAAAAGTCAGAGTTAACACTGACTGTGTCAAAGGATCTGCTAGAAGCGGGGAGTGGCATAAAGATGGCTGCCTACCTTGCTGTGACTTGGGCAAAGTTCCACTCCAGATATCACTCGAGCAGTAAGGCACAAACCTAGGCAGAGGCAGCAAAGGAAAGGCACATAGTTATGGTCATCAGAAAGTCCCTGAATAGACCGGAGAAACTCCTACTCCTTTCCCACCACATCATCTCCTCAGCATTGGGATTATCTTGGACAGAGGTTCCCAGCATGCAGTTACAAACAAGTGAGAGGGAGCCGTTACCACTTTTCCTTTCCCATGCTGCTAGATGAGAGGGGGGTCTTGGCTAGATCTTAGCTAGATAGCAGGAGGCTCCCTGTATGGAAAAGGCTGAGAACCACTGATCCACGGCTTTGCCCCATGAGTGATGTTAGAGTAGGTTACATGAAAGTGAATCACTACATATCCCCACCCTCCAGCTGTGGCAGTTGAGTTCCAACTCTCCTTATTTTAGCACCTCGTAGTCCTTTCAAGAGGAGCCACACAGTTACCCATAGAGTACAGGAGGTGTCACTCGATGTCATTTGTAATTAACAGTCAGAGCAGTAACTGGCCATAAAGTGCTGTGAAATGTAAGTGGTAGTACAGCGCCTGGGAAGGTCCTTACACTGCATTGGTGTTCCACCAGTGAGGGCTCTCCTCCATCTGGGAAGACAAAATGCCTGTCCCTAGAGTCACAGACACACAACACAAAAGAGACATGTTGTACTGGACACAGTCTCAGAAAACCAGACCAAGAGCAGCAGCTTTTCCAGCTTCGAGAAGCAGGCACAATCCCTGTAAGGATCTCACAGCTTCCCCTCCTGTCTCACCTTCTTCCCAGACTGTCATCCACCCACGTCACCCTCTCCCTCTAGAATCACAGACACATAGGGCTGGAAGGGACCTCAATAGGCCATCTAGTCATCCCCCTGTGCTGAGGCAGGACCAAGTATTCCTAGGCCATCCCTCTCATTCCACATTAAGTTCAGGCTCCATCACTCTTCTCAAAACTTCTGCCTATTCCTTATGCTTCTCTCCAGCATTTCTCCTATCTGCTTCTTTTGGCTGCGCATTGACTTGAGCCAGGAAAGCACGTAAGCATGCATGTAATACCATCTTACTGTACCTCAACAGACCCACTCACAAGCTTAAAGTGAAGCTGGTGTTGAAGTGTTTTGCCATAGTGCTCAGCAGCTGGCAGGATCAAATCCTTTGTCTCTTTCTTCCACTCAGTTTTCGGCCTTCTTTAATGCCACCCTCCCTTGTGCTTGGGACATGCCCATTCCTGACCTGCTGAAAACACATTCTCTCTCCTCCTTCAAATCCTACCTAAAATCCTAACTTCTCTCATGCAGGCTTCTTCAGAGGCCTCCCCACAAGGAAGATTCTTTACCTGATTCCAATGGAAATCTACTCCTGATGTATCACAGTTATAGGAGTTTACATTCTGAAATCACGGCCAGGAACATAAAGCCTGGTTTTCCTCTCTACTCATAATCAGCATAAACCCAGAGTAACTCCACTCACTTCAGTGGAGTCATTCCAGACTTGCACCTGTTTAGCTGAGAGCAGAAGCCATCCCCTTGTCTTTTCACAGAGCCATGTGAAAGAAAGGAATAATACAGGGTTTCTCAAACAGGGGTCGCCACTTGTGTAGGAAAAGCCCCTGGCGGGCCGGTCTGAGCCCCGTCCGCAGGTCCGGCCGATCATGGCTCCCACTGGCCGCGGATCGCTGCTGTAGGCCAATGGGGGCTGCTGGAAGCAGCGGCCAGTAAGTCCCTTGGCCCACGCCACTTCCAGCAGCCCCCATTGACCTGCAGCGGTGATCCGCGGCCAGTGGGAGTCGCGATCAACCGGACCTGTGGACGGGGCTCACACCTGCCCGCCAGGGGTTTTCCCTGTTTGAGGGAAAACAAGCGGCGACCCCTGTTTGAGAAACCCTGGAATAATACAACAATTGCAGCAAGTACCTTTCTTTGTTTGAGGCCAATCAGATGAGCTCATTAAGCGACGGATATTTTTATATCTGGTATCACATGTTTCTTTATTATAACAGCACCAGCCACCTGAAGGGGAGCAAGAAGTTTGTCTTAAAACCTTCATATCACATCTGATTGAATTAAAATTTATTGTTGACTATACCACTCAGTCAATGTCATCTTTGATTCTTGACTCTCTTTATTCTCATCTCACACTGGTGTAAATCAGAGGTAACTCCACTGAAATCACTGGAGTTACACTGATCGATGAATGTGCGTGCAGAATCAAGCCCGACTTGTCTTCACAATACCTTGCTTCATTACTGAATTGTCATTTCTTACTGTACCTTCTAAGAATATGATCCATCTCTTGCTCCCTTTGTGCTCCCTTAAGTAATACCTGCAAATGGTGGAGAAGGAAAGTAAACACAAATCAGACTATTTTTTCCCGTTACACTGTTTGTGAAAAGCAAGCGAGTTCTGACGTGATCATTACCCAGCTGTTGTCCCATAATTGCAGGTGACCAGGGGGTTCTTCAGAAAGAAAAGTTTCATGTCCTCAGGTGCCTTCTGAGCATGCCAAGGAGTGAGTGAGGCACTTCTGAGCTGTGATGCCAAGGCATCTTCCATAGGAGGAAGAACTCCCACAAAGACATCTTCCTCAGCAGCAGTGTGCTCCAGTTCCCCACTTGGATTAGGGCCCTTTCGATTCTGGGCAGGAGTCTTCACGTGAGCTTTGGAATTACGTTTGCTTTGAGACACCGCTTCCCCCAGGAGCAACAAAGCCACCAACGCCCCTGGGATCTTCATAGTGACTGCCTCCTCCTGACTGAACAGGCAAAGAATAAACCCGTTGTATAATAAAAGGGCAACATGAAAATCTGAAGAAAGCGAGGTTTAAGAAAGACAGTGTCGAGAAGAATTAAACCAGCAAGGAATGGATCTAGTCATGTTCACAGGCATAGACACAGGCAATTTACAGATGACACCACAAAGCTGAAATAGCATCAAATACCTTAAAGAATGCTGGTCAATTGCTGATCTTCACCTGAAGCATTATAACAAGTGCAATATCATAGGGAAGGTAAGCCTCTGATGGCCAAAGAATGAAGAGCGTGGTTGGAAGCCCAAGAGGAGTTGTTACCCAGCCAGAAATAATACTTGTGCTCAGATCACAGCTCCCCAGTGGAACTTTATATTGTCCTCATATGGAACATATTTCTTCCCTCTTTTTTTTTCTCTTTTCTTTTCTTTGAACTACCGCCAAGGTTGGGCAGATGACAGGGGCTGGAGAAACGAAACCACACCCCGTGCTGAATAAGTTTCAAGATTTCCTTGCAAGCACTTTGATCTTGAAAGTTACATACTTAAAATTTCTATAATTTGATTCCCATTTTGCTTGCTGCTTTTTGGAGGGTGGAGAAGGGTACAATCTGATTATATAAGCTTTGGCAATTCTCCTCTGTGGGATGATTTTTAGTTGTTTCATGCATAAGAAATGCTAGGGGCTACATTTGAACTTGATAAAAGCTTTCAATTCGCCGTCTCATCAAACAACCTCAGCACCAGCCTTTCAACTTTTTCAGTAAATACTGTATCTTTCCCCTTGTTCATGTTTTTGTCAGATTTATAGAGTATTGGTATGGAAATCATTAAATAGTGCTCTTAAATATATTAGAGCTAGTTGAATTATTCATTATGAATAAATGATCTGATGAAGTTATTCCCCTTTTTTAAATGAATCAGTCATGAACCAATTCAGATTTCTGCAAATGTATTTGTTATTTGTAACTATTCATCAAATACTTTGGATGAACAACTTTGAACCAATGGGTTACTTGAGTACTGATCACCTTCAATATTTGCTAGTCATTTGTTAATTGGGCTGTGTGATTGGTCACCTCTGTGACATGGTATTGCTTCAGCTCCCTGATTGGATGATTGAAAGTTTTAAAACAGAATAATGAATTATAAATCACAAAAAATGATGGATAATTTTGTATGCATGTAAATACAGATGTTTGTATGAGGAACAGCCAACCCCCAAAAATTTGTATGAAAAAACCTATTAACAAATAATTCATAATAAAGGACAGGAACACGGTCGAACAGCCGCTCATAATTTGAATGAAGGTTTGCTGACACAGGTTCTACTGAATTCACTAGAGATACACCAGTGTAAAACTGGAGTGAGATCAGAATCAAGCCATTTGGTCACAGAACTAAGAGAAAAAGAATGTCAGAACATATCCTAACCTCTGTTTTATTTCATTTTGTAAAATACAGTCTATGTTCCTTGATCAGGTGGAAAGTCATCAAGACAGAAAAGAGCGTTCAGTGTCACAGACCCAACTGGTTATAAAAATCTACATCATAAGCTAAACTTCCAGTCCAGTATAAATATTTCTTCCTCCCTTCCATTTAGTGAATTGGAAAAAGAAAGGAAAACTCTGTGCTCTTACCCTTAGCTGAGATGGAAAAACTTATCCCCCATGGAGCACACAGGAAATAACCATCACTGACTGGAGAGGAGATGAACATTGTGAAAGAAAACACAGTCTATTTGAAACTAGCAGACATATTTTTCGGATAGTTACAGAGTGACTCATTGGTCCCTAAAGGGAATTATGAGTGCAGCTTGCTCCCCTCACCCATCCATGAAATGCAATGCAGGCCATCCACATCCATCAAAGGGACTTGCTGGTCCAGTGCTGAGATGCTTAGCTGGAGTGATCACATCATTAATTTCTCTAGGTTGCTTTTTCCCGAGGATCCTCTCTCAGGGAGTGATGTGTCAGATGCCATATGGAGATAGATGGGGTGAAATAGTTCATGAAATTTGACTATCTCCAGAGATGAGGGTTTTCATCTGCCCACTCTGCAGTCCGGGTGAGCGTACAGCCAGCCAATAGACAGCACCATGGGGAGCTTCAACTGCATTTTTAACAACAGCTCTTATGGCTTCAGTGAAGCTACCCTCTTGCTTAAGTGATGTGACCTGGCAATTGGTCACCAAAAAAGCTAATGAGCCAAGAAGAGACTAAAAGGCTTCAGTGTCTGGAAAGGGGCAAATGTGCCTATTTCATCTATATCTCACCACTAAAGTCCAGCCCAGGTTTGTACCAACGGGGAGGACATTTCTACCTGATGGTTGTTTTGTGGCCTCAGAGAAATGAGTTGTGCTGGGAACGGGTCAGTGCAGGTCTTGTGAACAGGTGTGAACGTTACAAAATCCTCCACCACAACTGGCACAGTTTGGCTGCCTTGCTGACATTCTCAGCAGAGAAGCTAAGGACTCATTAGGTGTGATTACTTCACTACTCACAGGAGTGGTCCCCACAAGGGAAGTCTGAACACAAGGCCCCCCAAATCCGCTTCATGTAGCATCACTGATGAGCCAAAGCAATCTCCCCACTCACCTTGTTCCATAAACTTTATCCCTTTACCTTCAAGCATATCTATAGCCCCTCCTCTCCAAGGAGAGGTGTCTCTCTCCTAGACAACTTCTGTTGAGTTCTGATGATCAGATTGATGCCAGGACAGAATATCTTACTTGGCTTCGTGCCTGGACATCTCAAAATATGGCCCTTCATTCTCCCAATATGCTAATAAGTCAATGGAACAAGCACTCCGTTCATGAGTGCAGGTTTCTCTCCTGGCACAGCAGCCACTTTCCTGAGACTCACTGAGGTTCATAAGTGGAAGTAGTATGTTAAAGGCTGAACCCAACAGCAACAGGATGTGACCTGGGCTGCCCTGTAGATTTACAGCAAGGCTGGTTCTCAGAAATGAAAGGGTGCAGGAGATCCACAGACCCAAACCTGCCTGGCTGTATTTGCATTCTATGTACTTATGAAATGTCCTTCACCTACTGCTCCATTGTCCTTGATTCTGCTGGTTTTATAGTTTCTCGTATACAGTATTTCCTTCCTGATCATAACACAAGCAGCATCACTGCATTCTGCATACTAAAACCCAGGGCTTTTTACACTACTGCAGCTGCACTTCATTAACATTAAGGAACAAGGGACAAAGGGAGGTGAGAATCCACCCTAGATCTTCTGATTTTGTTTGATGGCTGCCAGCATGACATTTTTACAACTCTGGTAGCAGAATGCGAACCTAGGCCTTCTAACCAATCACCTCAGCCAAAGGCAGATGTCATTTCCCTTTTGTAGAAGAAATCACCATGGTTCATTTTCTTTGCATCAGCTTAAGTGTCATTTTAAAAACAAAGTAAAACAATCTCAATAGAAAAGCTCAGTGGGATGAGAGAGGAAGCTATGGAACATATGCAAGGGGTTAGGCATGATGTCGCACACAGATAATGAGGGAGAAAAAGATCGATCCTTAATGCTAGTCATGAGTTTTCACGCCTGTTTCACGCGTCTCTTTGTGCCCATGCACTGATACCTGCAAAATGTATTGTTGATGAGATGGGCACTCTCAGCATGTGCTGTTTTTTGTTTGTTCATTTGTTTACACAGTGGGGGCCTGATGTTGATTGGGGCATCTGGACAAATGATAATAATAAAGAATTAAACATTTGTCAAGTGCGCTCCTAATTCCCCCGGAGCCTGTGCATCCCAGGATCCCCTGGCTGCAGAACTGACCTCCTGGCTGGCTGCAGAATTGCTTGGCGAGTTTGTACCCTAACATGCATTTGGCTCACTAACTTTGGGATGAAAGGCTGGTCTAAACGCTGCCACTCCAGATAACCAAGCAAAGGCCCTCCCCCGGGGCACCATGGCAACTGGCCTACGAAGACTCCATGAGCTTCCCAGGCTCTGCAGCTGTGATGGAGACGTCTTGCTCCGTCCCAGCAGTGCTAGGGATTACATGGCTGCGGCTTTTCTGGCATAGTCACAGACTCCACTGAACACAGGGATTTTGTGAGGAGCCTGATATCTGTGCGGGAATGACATTCAGTCGGCTGGGGGAGGCTTTTAAAAAGAGGCATGACCTGACTTAGTTGCTTTCATCCTGGGAAACAGCTTTGTCCTTGTCAGCCAAGGAGAAGCAGACAGCAGCAAGTGGCCCCCTGAGGCTAAAGATTTACCTGCTCCCAAACCCAGCAGTAAATGGAGAAGAAGAGAGGGCCTGCCTAGGTCCATTGACAAAGGGGTCCCCCGTCAACAACAGCCCCCCGCCCCCCTGCAACCAGGCGTTGAGGAAGGGGAAAGGTGCACATTCAAATTTGACCAAAGCAGCCCAGTTCCATGCGTATTGGAGCTAACTGCAATAGCTCCTGTGAGCTTGCTGCAGGCACTCACCTGCACAGCAGGGGATACCACTGAGCCCTTTTGCTGGGTATGGCTCCAAGTGCTGCTGATGTCTTTGGAGATCACCGCCTTGAATCTTATTAAGCTCTTCACCCTAGGCAGGAGTGTTTGGAGAGGAGGTTTTTCAACAGCCAGGATGCATTATTCCAGGCACTCTCTGCTCTAATGTGCTGTCAGATATTAACGTCTATAACATCCCAAATACAAATGGATTTCAAAATATCGAAGTGTTTCAAAGATTGTCTCCTTAAATAGAGAACTCACACTAAAATCACAGCATTAGACAGAGAGAGAGACGTGGTCACAAAAGGATCCGAATAAAGACTGACCAATAAAAAGGTCTCCTCACAATAAAGGTGTTAAGTCTAATTCACTATTTTCCCATGAGCCAACAAATGAAAGGTCATATACAGTAGTTCTTACATAGTCCTTACTCAGACAATCCTCAAAGGAAATAATAAAATAATCAAAATAGCTAGCTCTTATATAGAGCTTTCTAGCTCTAGATCGCAAAGGAGTTCAGTATCATTAGCTCCATTTTACAGATGGGGAAACTGAGGTATGGGGAGAAATGACTTGCCCAAGGTCACCTAGCAATCTAGGGGCAGAGCTAGGCAGGCTGGCTCCAGGCACCAGCCGAGCAAGCTGGTGCTT